ACTGCAATACTTTTACTACTTGCTAATACTTTAATTTAGGAAGCATCATTTTCACTAACCTCAACTTCCTTTAATAATCTTGCTCTGACCTAGTTTACAGTTATACCACAAATAATTTGGTCTTTAATTTGTGCATCAGTTAGCTGTGAAAATTCACACAATTTAGGATTGCTAGGTAGGCCAATGACATAATGCTCTCCTATGACATATAGTCAGTGATCTCACTTGGCAGCTACTTTCTTGCAAAGAAAATGTGCTGTTCCCAGACAGACAAGGTGGCTGAGATAGTATCTTTATTGGACCAACTTCTGTTGGTGACAGAAACAAGCTTTAGAGCATACACAAAGCTCTTCTTCAAATGATTTCTTGAATAGTTATATCTAGTAGTTTGTAGTCTTCTTCATGCTTCTCTGGAATGTACTATAGATCCCCGGTGCTTCTGGGTCCACCAGCAGCATGGAGAATTTCACCCTCTACGATTTCTCTCCTATACCACTTGCTTTCAGAAAAATTTGGAAGGGCCGCGACTAACTTCAAGTTCCTTTCCATACTAAGGGATTCGGGTGGCTTAATTTACTCAATTTTTGCCAACCATTTAATTTTCTTTGCACACCATGTAATAAAAGTGTTTGATAGACGGGAATATTGATATGAGATTGATCTTTATTGCCAGGCCCAAACACATGACAGTTCAGAGTTACAAAATGTTATACCCGTCACAAGGCAAGGATCAGAATAATTGATTCCAATGGTTATTCTGTATTGTCTATCCCATAAGAACATAAGAATGGCCATACTGGGTCAGACCAAAGGTCCATCTAGTCCAGTATCCTGTTTTCCGACAGTGGCCAATGCCCGGTGTCCCAGAGGGAATGAACAGAACAGGTAATCATCAAATGATCCATTCCCTGACACCCATTCCCAGCTTCTGGCAAACAGAGGTTAGGGACACCATCCCTGCCCATCCTGGCTAATAGCCATTGATGGACCTATCCTCTGTGAATTTATCTAGTTCTTTTTTGAACCCTGTTATAGTCTTGGCCTTCACAACATCTTCTGGCAAAGAGTTCCACAAGTTGAATATGCATTGTGTGAAGAAATACTTCCTTTTGTTTTAAACTTGCTGCCTATTAATTTCATTTGGTGACCCCTAGTTCTTGTGTTATGAGGAGTAAATAACACTTCCTTATTTAGTTTTTCCACAGCAGCCATGATTTTACAGACCTCAATCATATCCCCTCTTAGTCATCTCTTTTCCAAGCTGAAAAGTTCCAGTCTTATTAATCTCTCCTCATACGGAAGCTGTTCCATTCCCCTAATCATTTTTGTTGCACTTTTCTGAACCTTTTATAATTCCAATATATCTTTTTTGAGATGGGGTAACCACATCTGCACGCAGTATGGACTCCGGGGCTAGGGAGGCTGGAGCGGTGCCGCCCGCCTTCCTGTTGCTCCAGGGCTGCGGGGGCTGGGGCCACACCACCCGCCTCCCTGGTGCTCCAGGGCTGCGGGGCACTAGCCTGGGGCAGGGCCGTGGTGGGGGGGTCTGGATCCAGCAGGGGGAGCACAGAAGAGGCGGGGCTTCAGATGGAAGGGGCGGGGCCTCAGGTGGAAGGGGCAAGGCTGGGCGGCTAGCCTTCCCCAGCCAGTGGTTCACACACCACCCATGTTCCTTTCCCTCATCCCATGTTCTCTTATTGGCCATCCCACACCACAAAGCCCCAAATCTTACATTTCACAGCCTTTGGGGCTCTTCCTATGCTACTCCAATGAAAGTTGTCTGAATTGTGTTTCATAAGAGTTTAAGGCCAAAAGATCATCCAGTCTGACCTCCTGCATACCACAGGCCGTTACATTTCACCCAAATAGTTCTGTGCTGAGCCCTGCACTCACTGATGTAAATACACAAGAAGAGGCCAAGGCACCACTTCTAAGATTATTGTTATTATTTTTCTAATTACAGAAAGAGCTTTTATAAAGCATCTTTGTACTCCACAGTCTATTTCTTGGTAGGCAGGATATATTTATGATTATGCAGCCACATAGGGTCCCGTACTTCCAGTAGCCCCACATGCACACATCTGACTCACCAGGCTGGGATGTCAGCCTCAGTTTCTCCATTCAGAGGCCTGTCTGACTCCACTGTCAGAGATTAATTCCCCAATTGTCCTCCTTCTCCCTGCTTGGAAAGTAGCCCTCTGGCTCCACCTCCTGGCTTCCTACTTAGAAGGGTGAGTCACCAGAAGCAGCCGAACCTCTCATGTAGGCGGCGGGGAGCCTGTAGGAGGGTGGCAGACAATAGGTGACCTTTAGGGATGAGTGTATTGTGATGCAAAGAGGAGGAGCCCATATGAGGCACTATGGGTTAATTGGCAGAGGGTACCACACGCCCCACAACCAAACTTGGAACTCTTAGAGGTGGTCCTCACGTGTTAACCCCACCTGTTGAGCTGCCTCTGTTCCGCTGTGCATCATCAGAAGAGTGGCACACAGACAGCTCATGTACGACAGCACAAACACCATAGTATTAGGAAGGAAGAGAAGACCACCCTATTAGATTACCTTGCTCTCTTTGAGATTACAGTGCATCAAGCAGTTGTGATGCAACTGGCTCACTAAGCACAAGATATAATCAGCAATAATCCTGAGTGAGTAGCAGAGAAAGAAAGTTAAGAGTTCCCTGGAAATTGAATAATCAGGGGAAATGGAAGTAGGGTATTCTGATTATATGACGGTGAGCATGGTATAAATGCAAAGGATTTTTTAAGTACCATTATTTTTGTTTGAAAAGAGATCGCAAGGCCAACGGGGAATGCGGGCGGGGAGGAAGGAAGGAGGGAGAGAGACATAACATTGACAGATGGGAGAAAATTTAAAATGAAATAATAAGAAAAAAGATAAATGAACATTAAATAACATAAATTATACAGAGGGGGCAAAGACTGTTTACAGAAAATGTCAGCTTCTGACCAAAAATCGGAGCAAATAAGACAGGAAATAAATAAGAAGCTAAACAATTATGAAAGGAACAATTTTGCAGAAAAAAAGGATGAAAGGTGGATGGTGTTAGAGAAAAAAAGCTGAGGGTAATTAAAAAAATTAACAAACAGAAATTGAAAGAGGAAATATACATTATGATGCTATCTAAAAAGGAGTAAAAGAGAATAGGTAAAAAAGCAAGGAGAAAAAAGTGACCAGGTAAAAGGGTACTATCAATCTATTCTTACAATATTTAAAGAATTATTTTAATCTATTTTTATAATCATTCCTTGGATACTTTAAACCGAAATGTCTTCTCATTGAACAAAATTCCCTTTGCCTCTCTTGATATGTACTCACTAGTTTCATTGCAGGGTTATTCATAATGAAAACTTTGGAATTTTTTAACAAAATGAAGGTTTTACAGAAAAACATCTGAAATGATTGCATGGACTTTGCAAAGAGAAGCAAGAAAAGACAGTAGCTTTTGTTTCTGTATTACACTTGCTGCCAGGTTTTTATACAAATGTATACAACATAAATTCTTAAAATACAACAAAGGTAATCATACAGAATCAGTTTGCAATATAAAGTTAGAATTCTCCCTTGTGACGTATTGTATGTTTTAACACAGTTGGGCTTGATGTCATGGAGTCAATAATTTGAAAAGTTTATTCTTCACACTGCTTTTCTATTTCTTTACATAAACATTAAAAATAAAAAAATACATCAGAGAACCATATGAATGCAACAGCTGAGGATCTAGTTATTGGCTGTATCAAAATTCAAGGTTATATTCCTGGGTAGTACATTTTTAACCAGGTGGCATTTCTCTCTCATATCATCACTGTTAGTATGTTTAATTTCTCAAGAGATAGGGAATAGAGTTGGATGACCATGAAAACCTTTTACGTGCAGAGCCAACCATATTGCTGGTAAGTGGGAGTAACCCTACTAAATAAAGTAAGTGGAATTGCATCAGTTTATTTCAGTGAGTTTGTCTTAATGCATCTTTTAATAATATCTCGTTTTATCACATAAACGGTGTGTATTATAGATTGCTTTATGGCCCTGATCCTGACTTTATGCACCTAACTGTACACACGGGAGTACTGGTATGTGTAAATATGGAAATAAGTGCAGTAACACAACATTGTTTTTTTCTTGATTTTTCCTTCTCTCTTGGCAAAGAAAAGGGAGGGGAGAGAAAAAATAAAGAGAAAGAAAACATAGGGAAATATTTGGTTCCTGGAGGGGCAGGAACAGTATGAGCTGATCCAGTTCCTATGCTCAAACCAATGGCTATTCACAGCCAAGCCCCTATGTAGTTATTTCAACGAATTCAGCTTCATTTGGCTCTTTTGGGGTTTTTAATGGTCTTAATCCGATTAAACCTCATAGAGGTCATGCTGCGGGGCAGCACGGCCCGGGGAGCGGGTGGGTGGAAGGGGCAGTCCTATGTGGGGCACAAGGGATGATCGCTCTGTGGGGCAGCATTGGGGATGGAGGCAGCAGCGCGGTGGGAGGGCATTTGCGAGAGCTGGGGCAGCGGGGGGGCATTTGGCACGAGGGTGGAGGGAGGCAGCTGCTGGGGAAGTTTGGGGGCTAGAGGAGATGGGTGACCCTATTGGGCCGGGGTGAGATCAGCGGGGGGGCGGAAGGGCCTTGTGGGGCTGCTCTGAGTGGGCACCCGGCGGGCAGAAGGGGCTGTTACTAGCTGACGGACAGGGCAGGCGTGAGACACCGCGGGGACTGCCGATGACTCCCAGGCTGCAGGCAACCAGTGCTTACCCACCATGCCCCGCGGTTCGGAGAGCGAGGGGGAACGAGCGGCCCTTTCCCGCGAATTCAGTTCAAAGGAGGGGGAGGGGGAAAGCACCGAGCGGCGAAGCGCACCGACCAACCAAACTCTTCCAGAACCATCTCTGCGTCACGCAGGGGCGGGACTACCGTCGGCCAATCCGTCAATGCGGCGCCATCGTCGGAGCCAATGGGCATGCGGGGGAGGCGGGAGCGGTGTCGGCGTCGGGTTCGGCTGGTCGCCCGTAGAGCTGAGGAGAACGGAGCGGAGGAGACTTAGAGGAGTTGGAGCTCGGTGCTTCCCCTCCCCCCTCCTTACCCCGCCCGCCCCAGCCGCCCCCCTCCCTCCTCGCTCGGTCTCCGGCCCGCCGGGGCCCGCTCTGGGGTGAGGCCAATGGCTCCTCAGAAGCACGGTGGAGGCGCGGGGCCCAGCTCGGGCTCCGCTGGCGGCGCCGCCGGAGGAGGCGGTGGAGGAGGCGGCGGCGGGGGGTTCGGGGGCTCCGCGGCTGCCGCGGCTCCGGGCGGTAAATCCGGTGGTGTTCCAGGAGGCGGCGGGGGAGGAGGAGGAAGCGGTTACTCGGGAGGCTCTTCGGCCTCCTCGGCGGCTGCGGCGGCCGCTGCAGCGCTGCCCCCTGTGAAGAAGCCGAAGATGGAGCAGATCCAGGCCGACCACGAGCTCTTCCTGCAGGCCTTCGAGAGTGAGCACCGGGAGCGGCCGCAGGAAGGGAGAGGGAGGGGCTGGGGGGAGAGGAGGCTCTGGGGGTGAGCGCAGGCGAGAACGGGGCGCAGGGAGGCGGGTAAAGGGGGACGTCGGGGGAACGGAAACGCGATCACACCGTGGGGTAGGGCGTGGGGCGGGAGGTGAACCCGGGGCCGGACTTCCCGGAGGGAGGAAGGTCCGGGGGCTAGAGAGGTTCGTCGCATGGAGCGGAAGCGGGGATCGGGGGTGGCTGGGGTGCGGGTAAGCCCGAAGTGGCAGGCGCTTCCTTCAGATTCGGGGCCTCTTTCGGGGGGCGGCGCATTTGTACCCGTCCTCTACTGAACCGCCTTCCTGGCGTTCAATTTGGCCTCTTGGAAACGGTTGAGCTGGGAAGATTTCAAAGGCGATTTATTTTTGCTCTTCCCCAGCCCGAGGATGCTTCTCGGGCGGGAGGGAGGGAGGGGGTATTTGCGCCCCTTCGGTTGTTGCTCCTTTTGGTGATTTTTGCGTCTCAGGCTGTTAAGGGAAGATTATGATCCTCAGTTAACTTAATTTTGTTGCTCTGTGCGAAAGAGCATTCTAGTGGGTTATTTTAAGTTGGAAATTTAAATCACACACACCCCCACCCCCACCCCAGTGGTTCCAGGTAGGCAGAGAGTCACTTTGGATGCAGGATACAAGCTTGGTCCGAACACCCACTCTAATAATTAACTTTTACATTGTGCCCGAGCTGTAGGAAAAATAAAATATTAAATCCAGAGGTTGTTTTGGGATGAGCTTGTCACCACTGCAGTTATTTGTAATACATAGTAGTTATCATTTTGATGTTTTTTGTGAGGAGTCTTGAGATCATTGACTAAAAATTCTTTACAACTGCTAATTAACCCCATCAATGCAGATGGAAGGAATGTAAATACTGCATTAGGTCAAGTGATGTAGGGAGGATTAAGTGACTTGCTCCGGATCACAAGTGATCGGTGGCAGGGTTCAGAATATAACCCAGAATACTTGCTCCTAGTCCCTGCTCTAACTACTTGAGAAGATGGTTTTAAATTTGGGCATGTAATGAGTAGAAATAAGTAATACTGTATAAGGTATACTTTTCAGAGTAGCAGCTGTGTTAGTCTGTATCCGCAAAAAGAACAGGAGTACTTGTGGCACCTTAGAGACTAACATAGTCTCTAAGGTGCCACAAGTACTCCTGTTCTTTTTAAGGTATACTTGAATGTCTAATTGTGAATTCAATTTTATAGCACTAATGTGAAAAGAATACAATAAAAATATTATTAGGATTTATGTATAACCTAGCAGTTGTGGATAGAATAAACAGTTGTGTGGATTTTCTTTTTTAAGGTAATCTAATTGAAGAAGATAATTTATTTTTGGTTTTGACTTGACAGTATGGTAGGATTGTGGAATATATGTGGTTTAATAGGTATTTTTGGAAAAGTGTCTAATAAAGTATTGCTATAATGTGTTTTTTCACTCCTCACTCATTCCTTTAGGAAGTCAGAGTTTAAATTCAATAAATCATAGTCTGTTTTTAAATGAAATATTAAATCTCTGTGACCACACTTGGTTTTCTCATGTCTTTCTACGTGGTAGTTATTTTTTACTTTTGGGTTGCTAAGGTGTTAAAGATTCTCTTAAAAGAATGATGACCATAAAACATTTTTATTTTCTATGATACATCCTTAATCTTTTCCCTTCGGTTCTGTTTTTTAACTTGGTCCTAAGCATAGTAAAACCTTAATTATAATCACAGTTTATAATGAACACAAAGTGAAATCTTTCAGTTTCTCAGTTGGGATATGCAGAATTCAGGACTGAGATTACTTAAGGCTTTATGTGGAACTGATTTTTAAAATAAAGTACTTACAAGTAAAACTGAATTACATTTGTGAAAATTAATGTGAACAGAATACTTTTTGTAGTGCACCGTCCTTCTTGTTCATTTGCTATTTTCAAAATTCATCAAATCACAATATAACTTCCAGTCACTACAACAAATTAGGTGTGTCAGCTGCTTATTTTTAATATTCCTAAAACTTGTATTAAAATATTGAGATGGCTCCCTTACTTTTAAAAATAATCTTGTGGGGGACACAGTGGGACACAGGAGTTGTATAGGAATTTTCCACTCCTTTCACGCACTCCAGTTTACTCTAACTTTCACTCTATGCATCCGAAGAAGTGAGGTTTTTACCCACGAAAGCTTATGCCCAAATAAATCTGTTAGTCTTTAAGGTTGCCACCAGACTCCTTGTTGTTTTTGTAGTTTATGCTGTATTTCCCCATGTGTGTTAACTTGGTGAATATTCTTATTTCAGTTTACTTATTCTTTTTTAATCTTAAACTGATTCTTAATTGAATTAACCTAATCTGAAAGAAGAGTTCTTTGTGTAGCTTCTTGAGCTGGTTTAATTAAGTTGGTTTAAAATGACACTGGTCAAAATACAGGTGTCATCTTCTCATGTAGACAAGGCTTAGTCTCTAGACTGGTGGCTACCAGTCATTATATCAAAAAGAAGTTAGCATACAGCATGATTATAGAGTCATAGACCCACTATCACCAATCAGTTATGGTAGAGCCAACTTGCTGTTGAAATGGTTGTTAACAAGTGAAAAATTCTCTAAGTTAACGTTTTCCCATAATGTGGACATGAGAGCTTTCTGATATTTCTGTCCTAGCCTAAATCCATTTATATCAGGCATTTTTGTACATGTGTAAGTTTTATAGGTCATTATGATTGCCACTCTAAATTAAGACACTCTTTTGGCATGTAATTATTCACAAGTGATGTCTTCATGCTTTATAGCAAAGTAAAACAATCTCAAGTTGTCTGATACATTAATAGCAGACTAAGCTATATATCAGACATTATAGATTGGGTGGGGAGAAAACTTGCTGAGTGTTAAAGAATGCTTTGGGATTACTTTCATAATTAGCAGTTTTCTGCCTTGCTCACCTTCTAAAGGATCTAAGGTGCAACAGGGACTACATCTTTTGATGAAAAATCAAAGGTAGATCAGAGTTCTAATACTGTAGTTGATATATGCTGTAGTGTAGTAGATTAAATAAAATGTTGGTCATGTTACAGATAACGAGTGGATACTTAAACTGCTGTTAATCTGAATTATGATTTATACATTATAGTTGTCACATAGTTTTTAATAGGTGCTGTTAAAGTTAAATATACATTAAGTGAAACCTATTTAGAATTGTCTGTATATTTTCAGTATTTGCTTGTAAGCTTAGTTTTTTTGTGGGGTATAAGATACACAAGATAATGTGTATTTCTTTCCCATAGAACCAACACAGATATATAGATTTCTTCGTACCCGGAATCTAATAGCAGTAAGTAATTGTTGATATTAGTTTATTTCTTCACTTTGAATTTGTAGGAATCTCCAACTTAAGCATTTTAATTTTTTTCATTTCTTTGCAGCCAATATTTTTGCACAGAACTCTCACGTACATGTCCCACAGAAACTCCCGAACAAATATCAAAAGGTAATTTTATTCTGTTCGAAAGCTATTCCTGATATTTGAATGTTAACTGATTATTCTCTCCCATTGCTCCATTTCCATTTTGCACTTTAAATTGGTCTTTTCAGATGTAGTGTGAGGCATTAGGCGTTTTTGAAGTTGTTAAAAGATTCACACCAGCTCAGTTTTGAAATGCAGTTTGCAGGGGAAAAGTGCATGTTTATAAACTGACTTCTTTTTGTAAAGATGAACCTCATCCTCCCAGCAGTTCAGCATATGCTTAACTTCATGAATGGGAATATTCCCATTGTCTTCATTAGGAATATTTAAATATGCAAGTTAAGCATGTGTGGGATCTGGGCCTAAATTCTCAATAAAGTAAGTTTACATTTCTGTTGTTGGCAATAACCTTTGACAAGAGATAAATGGATGAAGGCCCAAGGTTATAAAACCAATTATGCTTTATTACATGAATCTGATCTAAGTTCTGACTTAGATAATCAATGTATATTTTTCTAAAGAACACTGCCAGGTTAGTTAGCTAAATGAGCATGTTGGGAATTCTGCTTAAGCTACTAATGTAGGAAACTAAATCAGTGTTACTTTTCTGTAATTGTTTTGAAAGCTGTTTAGCTTTATTTTTGACTGTTGTAGTAAAGCATTAATTTTAACTAAGATTTTTTTTTAAATAGGCTCTAGAACCATATCTTTTCTTTAAAATGGTTGTATTGAGTTGCATATGATTCAGTACAGGGTTTCTGGATATCTGCAATTCTATAGTTGGAGACTGAAGTGCTTAGAGTTCTTTGGGTGAAAGGGACAAAATGTTTGGTGGTTATAATTACAAATTCTTTGAATTATTTCCTTAGTCAAACAGCAAATCATTCACTATTCTATTGATAGTTAGCAGGCAAAAATTTTACTAGTTAATCCGTTAAGATATTTTAACAATGTTTGAATTGCTTGAAAAAAGTATTAGTGTGGACTGGAACATTTGTAATGATGGCTATTTAAGGAATAGTTATAAAACATAAGAATGGCCATATTGTGTCAGACCAAAGGTCCATCTAGCCCAGTATCCGGTCTTCCGACACTGGCCATTCCCTCTGGGGCACCTGGCATTGAACAGAACAGGTTATCATCAAGTGATCCATCCCCTGTTGCCCATTCCCACCTTCTGGCAAACAGAGGCTAGGGACATCATCCCTGTCCATCCTGGTTAATAGCCATTGATGGGCTTATCCTCCATGAACTTACCTAGTTTTTTTGACCCTGGTATAGTCTTGGCTTTCACAACATCCTCTGGCAAGGAGTTCCACAGGTTGACTGTGTTGTGTGAAAAAATACTTGCTTTTGTTTGTTTTAAACCTACTGCCTATTAATTTATGAGAAGGAGTAAATAACGCTTCCTTATTTAATTTCTCCACACCATGCATGATTTTATAGATCTCGATCATATCCCCCTTTAGTCATCTCTTTTCCTAGCTGAAAAGTCCCAGTCTTATTAATCTCTCCTCATTGGTAAGCCGTTTTATACTGCTAATACTACTTGTCCTTTTCTGAACCTTTTCTAATTCCAATACATCTTTTTTGAGATGGGACAACTCCATCTGCATGCAGTATTCAAGATGTGGGTGTACCATGGATTTATATAGAGGCCATATGATACTTTGTCTTATTATGTATCCCTTCATGATTCCTAACATTCTGTTCACTTTTTTAACTGCTGCTTCACATTGAGTGGATGTTGTATAGGCAGCAAATGGTTGTGTAGGCAGTAAATAAAATTGGCAACCAATGAGGACAGACTTGTATTTGATCCAACAAAAAATATAAAGTGCAAATTCTGTGAGTAGGCTGTATTTCGCATTCTCATATTTTGTTTTAGTTAATAATCAGCATTTAATGTAATTTCCTTGCCCTTTAGGATTGTAGAGGTCATTTCCACTTATTGCCAGTGAATTGAAGATAGTGGGGTTTTTGTTTGTTTGTTTGTTTGTTTTTTTAAATCTGCACCTACAACCCGTTATTCCTTCTTAAAAGGAAGTTATTGTCTCCCAATAAGGGATGAGCTGAAAGCATGTTCTGACTTCCTGTCATAAGTTAACTTGTAGCTACTCTTTTTTTATTATTATTTATTTCTCATGACAGTTACTGCAGTGGTTTGGATAGTTTATCTTGATTCTCCCCCTTAATTGTTCTGAATTGGTGAAAGCCAGAGTTTAAGAAATAATGTTCACTGTTTCTTCAGACTGCTTTGGGGCTAGGGGGCAAGCTCATAGTTTCAAACTGCCGTTCTCCTTTTCCAGCAAGTTCTCCAATGGCTATTCAAGCAACCTGTCCTGTACCAAAGACTACCATGTCTCAGCCTAGATCGTATCGGTATCTACCGGATATACCAAACAAACGATACAATATGCAAAAACAGATTTGTGTTGTGAAAATTATCACATGTATTCATTCTGGATAGTTAAAATGTCTCCCCTCCATTACCTGAAACTTGTTTGGTTTTTTTCAGATGCCTCTTGTTTGTTGCCAAGCAACCACAAGTGGTGTTTTGCATGTACATTAAGCATTATTTGCTGCTGTCTTCCATAATAGGAAATTTCTCTTTCCTCAGCTGGGATAAGTAATGCCCAGTTTCTCTATTTGAAACAAATATTTATCTTTACTAACTTTAATGGGTAAAATATACCATCTTTTAAAGTCTAGAAATCTACTTTGACAGCTAGTGTTTCCATATGTAGTGAATTGGTTAGTGGTCATTTCATTTATAATAACTAAAAGTTCGGGTTTTCTGAAAGTAATCTGCTCCATTGAAATCAAGTCAGTAATTAGATGTAGGAAAAATGGAGAGGCAAAGCTGTATAATACTGTTTACTTTGTAAAAAACAAAAACAAATGTAATACAACTGTTGAAGTAGATTTACACGGTATTTCTGAATGTTCAAGGGAAATGTTTTTTCAACTAAACTGCTAAAGATGCTTATCCACAAATGCATTTTCCCCCCCAAATCTTGCTGATGGAGCTCTTGTTAGACCTGATCTAAACTTAAACTTTTGCCAGCATAGCAGTGTGTGTCAGGAGTGGTGACTTTTCCCCCCTTTCCTGACCAACATAGCTATGCTGGCAAAAGCCCCAGTGTTCATGCACTTTATATCCGCAAAAAAGTCCTTTTGCCAGTATAGCTTACTCCATTCAAAGAACTGGTTTAAAAGAACTATTTTGCTGGTATAAATGGCATCTCCAATGTGAGGATTGCTGGTATATACCTCTGCTGGTATAGCAGTACTGGCAAACATGTAGGCCAGACCCTAATTGCCACTGTTTATTCAGCAGGAATCTGTACAACCAATTAAGCTCTTACTAAGAGCATTATGTACTACCTACTCCGTACATCAGACACTGTGATTGCAGGTAGCAAGAAGCTTGAAAGGATTTTTTTGTTTGTTTTTTATGAAGGAGGGAGTGGAAAATCTCATTGACTGAAGCTTCTATGTGGGGAATTTGTATACACAGCTTGAACATGATGAAAATTTTAGTGGATTCATTAGTTCTTGAGAAATGGTACTTATGGAACAGCTATTATACATCACAATGCATATATAGTAAATACTTAATTTTATCAAGTGATTTTTTTTATGCTTAGCAATTTTTTTATATTTAAAAAGCCTGATTGCTCTGGGTATTTACAGTAATATACAATTGTTATCAATATAAAGCAACATCTGCAACTGCATATGATATATTTACATACCACAATAATAATCATCTCCACTCTTAATATACCTGGTCTCTTAAATATCTCAAAAAAAGCCAGACAAATTGTAACTAAATCACTTACACCGTAGGTCATTGAGGAGGAGAGAAACTATCCTGTCAGAAATGAAGTTTTCAATAAAGCTTCGCTTTGATGTAATTAAGGATCAATCCATTTTGCATTTTATTGTTTAATCTTTTTTGAACTGTAACATTTTCATCCTAGTCTCACTACAGTGTCAGATACAAATTTTTATTCTGTGCTTGTAGTCCAGCAAAAATTAAGTTTTTGGTGTGTTTTTTTTTTTTTTTTTTTTTTTTTTTTTTTTTTTTTTTTTTTTAAAAAAAATTTTTTTTTTTTGTTTTGGTTCCCCAAAAAAAAAAATTTTTTTTGGGTGTTTTTTTTTTTTTTTTTTTTTTTTTTTTTTTTTTTTTTTTTTTTGACAGAACTGACTTTCTCTGTTCACTCAGGCAGTAGTTTAGACAGTGAGCATGAATTTTTCTAGTTTTCTAACTATTTTCAAGTTTGTGGTGAGAGTTAAAAATTTACCATGGGGGGGGGAAGGGGGCAGAATACCCCAAAAGTCATACTGTTGTTGCATATATGTATATTGAGGATAAACTGGTATTTAATTAAATACGTATTTTGTGTTTTGTGATGATTTATTTAGTGCAGAAGGGTGACCAAGTTGGTAAGATAAGTGGACTGCTAGGTTGGTTTTGGTTAGCAATCCTTATTATGAAAATGTTAATATTAAAGATGTTTGGAGAAACTTGTGCTTTAATATTGAGGCACACTACCATTTTGATTCTTATTACCTTGTTAAATGTGTGCTGCTTCACTGGGAGGGGAGACACTTAAGATACGGTATTGCAAGCATCAGTAAATGGTGATACACTGAAAATCTTGCATATTATGACAAGATCATTGCAATGGCAAGTGACATATTTTAGTCTTCAAATATTTCAGCTGTGCTTATCATGTTATGTAATGTCCAACATGACACAAATCTAGTTCTACTCTTCTCTCACTTTCCTTTTATGGAAGTCTCCCATGACTAATCATTGTCTTTGTCTATCTCTGGACCCCTTCCGTTTTTTGCTCTCTCTTTGATAGGATGACCAGAACGGTACTTAAAATGAAGTTCTATCATATGGCATATTTCAAAGTTATATTCTATCCAATTTTTTAGGCAAAAAACAAAACATCAGGATGCTTATCTCTGTGTTGAGTGGATATTTTCTTTTTCCTGAGTTCTAAAGTTTAAAATCTAACAATGTGTTAAGAGTTTAGATAATTTTAAATATGCACTACATTGCATTTCATTTATCATATTGCCCCTTCACCAGCTTTGTTGCATCCCTCAGAATTACCAGAGTTTTCTCTTGCGTTGACTAATGTACTTTTGTCATATGCAAATGTTGCTACTTCACTATTTCAGTTTTTCCCCATCTTTAATAAATATACTAAACATCAGTCCTAGTACAGCTACCTGGAGCATCTCATTATTAACCTTCTGATGTCTTGAAAATTGACCATTTATTCCTTCACTTTGTCACTTAGCCATTTTTTAATCAGTGACATAACTTTGCTCTTGAGCCATGATTGCTAAAGTTTTGTCTAGGGTGAGGAATAGCCCTCATTCAACAATTGATATTGGCTTCTACCAGTGTAGACAAGGGCATGCCAAGGTTCTCACTGCTTGAAATCCCAATTACAAGTAGGGGTAAACCGTGATTATATGCAAACCCTGCATGCCCTTGTCCACATTTGAGTTAGTAATGGTGCTGCTTCACTGATTGCCGAAGAGGGACTATTTCCAAGTGTAGTCAAGGCCTTAGTTTTCTTAATAGATTCTGTCAAAGGCTTCTTGGGAATCGAAATAAATTTACTGATTTTCCTTATCCAGTATTTTGTTGATATGCTAAAAAATTCTAGTACACTGGAGAGAGAGAATTTTCATTTATAGTAGTTATGCTATTTTGTCCTTATGTTCACCGAGGCATTTAGTAATTAATTTTTTTATTACTGCTTTATCTGGTATTATGTAAGGGTCACTGGATTGTAATTCCAGATAATCCCTAGGACCATTCTAAAGATTGTACATGTGCTGTTCTCCAGAATAGTAGCTGATTTTAATTATTACAAGTTAAGGTATGCTTAAGTAACACACATGCCAAATCTGATTACTTCTAATTTCTTCACTCTTGGTTTCAAAGTTGTGAGTTGTTGTTGTTTTTTTTAACTAATTCCTCTTTTAAAAAAAACAGAAAAACAAAAAACCCTCTCTTCCCCCAAAGCTTAATATATCAGTGCTAGTTTTGGTAATCCCTCACCCAAGAATGTAGTGACTATTAGTAAGTATAGTTGAACCACTGTTGAAAAAATTGCTTTTGTTACTGAGCCTTAGTTTGAGTGGAACATCTCCTGTTTCATGGTCTAGAATTAATTATTCCAAAAAAGTAGTGGTTTGCTTTTCTAACCAATGTCACCAGCATGAGAGAGAGTCAGTTTGTTTGTGGGAGTTGCTTGACCAATACTGTATTATCACTTTGTTGTGGGTTTGCTAGTAATATGCATCTATTTTTAGCTAAACAATCACTCAAATAAGTGAGCAGCTTAATATAAATCAAAGCTTGAGCAACTGAAATTTTGTACAAGCTGGAACTTCATATAAAGGGTTAAATAGCTTTATTTCTGGCAACATTGTAATAAATATGACACTGCCAATGTAGAGCTCCTTAATAAATTAATTGAATTGGAGCTAAATTTGTAAATGTTTCAGAAAGGCAACTGGAGAAAGAAAGGAAGTATGAGATGAGAAATTTGCAGTGGAATAGGATAAACTATGCTAAAGTTAATAAAAGGTTTATATTGAGATTATAGCATTAAACCATACTTGCAAGTTATCAAAATAAAAATTATGGATGTGAAGGCAACTTTCAGGGTATTCGTACACTTGTCTGTATAGTAAATATTGCATTTGGCCCCGTTGGTGGTACATTTTGAAATAGCAGGCTTTTATTTTTTAAATGCTATTTGAATGTCAGTAAGATTTGAATAAAGTAGTTACAGTTCAGTTAAGAATCAAAATAACAGTTTGATAAGCTGCCAAGTCTCACTTGCCTTTTAATTAATGTTTTGGTCTCCCTTCTTCACCTTACGTTTTAAATATACAAATATCTACATTAATATTGGTGACCATCTAGTCAGTGAAATGTCAGCAAAACAAGACTGCCAGAAATACAAGTATTGCCTTTTCTAAATCTAAATGTGGAAAATCTTGTTGGTGTAAGGTTACATTGGTGTAACCTATAGCATTGAAGGGAATATTTTTTGTGACTTTGGGAATGAGGATTCAGTAAGTTTACACACCAGTCTTTTTTATAAAGGCATCTCTATTGCGCATCAGTTTAGAGCTAGAAAGTGCTCATTTAACTGCTTTAAAATGACTTTTTGGTTTTATACTCTGATCTCTTGTTGCTTAGGCCTTATCTAGGCTTTTGCCATAAATATCCCACTGTTGATAACCACCTGGTCAGCTTCTTTGGTGGTAGCAATGGAAGGGCACGAGTGCAGACATACCAATAAGATTTACTTGGAGCTCTAACTATTGTGCCATGTAGACTTGTTCTGAACAGAGTTACACAACTTGGTAGTTAATATGGTATCTGCTGGGAGCCCTGTCTGGACTGTTGGTTCGACCATGCTTGTTGCTGGAGGAAACTTCTGGCCAAAAAAACCCCAAACCTAGTGTAGACAAACCTTTCACGTTCACTGCCTGTTTTATGGTAAGAGACCATGTATCGGGCAGAAAAACATTCCTTTTTCTTCTCTTCATCTGTCTTGCTTAGACTAGGAAGAGAAATGCAAAGCGGGGCTGCACTTGCTGTTAGTGAATGAATAAGAGTCTAGTACTATCTAGTATTATCCTGAGAGTCTAGTACTAGTCAATCTAAAGAACTTTGCTGGAATCCAGGATGGAACTTCAGTCTTCCTATTAAAGAGGATTGGAAGACTACTTCTGAAAAATTTTGAATAACCTTTGCCTAGGAATGTGAATACTGTATCATATAAGCTAGAAAAGGATGAATAGGCTGATACCTTACAGGAGAAAAAATGTAATGTGATTATTCCTTAAGCTGTAAATTTATTTTCCTCTGAAAAATATTCCTACAACTGGTCCATTAGTGAATGTCACTTTTGTATTATGTTCATTAATTCACCTTGCTGAGGAAAGAAATAATCTTTCAAGAATTAAATATAAATAGACCTCCTTCTGCCACACAGTAACCATATTTCTAATCCTTGTATATGGTTAATTTGGGACAACCTGAGAGAAAATTTGTATATTGATAGCTGGCATGGCAATCAGTGTAAGGAGGTTGGTGGTTTTTTTTTTTTTTTTTTTTTTAAGTAAAACATATTTGTACCAAAGTTTGAATGGACTCCTAACTAGCTGTCTTGCTGATATTGAAGTGTGTCTTAACATTAAATTGTGTTGCTCTACAAAATTCTATAATTTTAATTTCTGATAGTTTAGTAATTAGTTCTGTGATTATGATACTGAGGTGCAGCTTTTCAAGCAGTTGTCTTTGATTTCTCGGGCCTCTTTTTAGGAGGGAGAAGTTAGAACAGCAGGTTAAACCAATATTTGAAGAAGCTGATGTGTATACTGAAATTTGTTTTAATAGAATCAGAATTTTTATTTCAGTTAATATTGTATATAAAGGAAATACCTCTAAAAATGAAAATTACCTACTATTCATGCATTTTATTTTTCCACAGGAAAACGTTCAAAGTAGATGACATGTTATCAAAAGTAGAGAAAATGAAGGGAGAGCAAGAGTCTCACAGGTATTACCTGCTCATATTTTTATCAATAAGTCATGTATGGCTGTCAATGAGGGAACAGGATAAAAGGGAGTGATTATTACAAGGTGCAGTACCTGCCACATGAGTGCAGTCTAGCATCCAATTAATATTTGATGACTATGCACTCTTAATAGTTTGAGTACTTGCAAAATATAAGAAATTGAGAGCATAAAAGACCAAGGTACAAAGGATCTGGCTTTCTGTTGGGATAGACTTTCCAGTATTTCTACTGTTCACATTTCAAGCATCTTAAGCGTCTTTGTTAGCTTTTAAAAAATAAAAACAAACTTACGCTTAACTGAGTTGCAGTGTCAGCAACTGATCCATGAAAATTATATTTAAGCAGTGGAGAAGATTTGCATGGTCTTTATTTAGCAAGATTCTGACGGTAATATTCTAATTTTTCATGTGATTAGTTTCTGCTCTGCTTGCTGCTTTCACAGGTTCCTTTATTCCTGGTCTTTATGAAAAGAAATTAAATTTTTCATTGAATGAATTTAACAACTTTTTAAATATTGAAGTGCCTGTATTTTAGAACTCTGTAATTTACTTTTACAGTGCTCTTAATAAAAGAAACTTAATTTCTAGGGCTGTCAAGAAAAGCAATCAAATTAATCATGCGATCAAACCGTAATAGAATGCCGTTTATTTAAATATTTGTGGATGTTTTCTACATTTTCAAATATGTTGATTTCAATTACAACACAGAATACAAAGTGTACAATGCTCACTTTATATTTGTTTTTGATTACAAATATTTGCACTGTAAAAAACAATAGTATTTTTCAATTCCCCCATTGCAAGTACTGTAGTGCATTGTCTTTATCATGAAAGTTGAATTTACAAACGTAGAATTATGTAAAAAAAAAAAACCTGAATTCAGAAATAAAACAATCTAAAACTTTAGAGCTTACAGGTCAACTCAGTCCTAGTGTTTGTTCAGCCAATTACTCAGACAAACTAGTTTGATTACATTTGCAGGCGATAATGCTGCCCACTTCTTGTTTACAATGTTACCTGAAAGTGAGAACAGGCGTTCACATGGCACTGTTGTAGCCACTGTCACAAGATATTTACCTGCCAAGTGCGCTAAAGATTCATATGTCCCTTCGTGCTTCAACCAGCATTCCAGAGGACATGCGTCCATGCTGATGACAGGTTCTGTTCGCTAACAATCCAAAGCAGTACAGACTGACGCATGTTCATTTTCATCATGAGTCAGATGTCACCAGCAGAAAGTTTATTTTTCTTTTTTGGTGGTTTGGATTCTATAGTTTCTGCATCGGAGTGTTGGTCTTTTAAGACTTCTGAAAGCATGCTCCATACCTCATCCCGTCAGATTTTAGGAGGCACTTCAAGTTCTTAAACCTTGGGTCCAGTGTTGTAGCTATCTTTAGAAATGTCACATTGGTGCCTTCTTTATGTTTTGTCAAATCTGCAGTGAAAGTGTTTTTAAAATTAACAATATGTGCTGGGTCATCATCCGAGACTACTATAACACGAAATATATGGCAGAATGCGGGTAAAATAAAGCAGGAGACCTACAATTCTCCCCCAAACAGTTCAGTCACAATTTTAATTAACGCATTTTTTTTTTTTTTAATGAGCGTCATGAGCATGGAAGCATGTCCTCTGGAATAGTGACTGAATCATGAAGGGGTATATGAATGTTTAGCATATCTGGCATGTAAAGGCATTGCAATGCCGGTTACAAAAGTGCCATGTGGACACCTGTTTTCACTTTTAGGTGACATTGTAAATAATAAGCAGGCAGCATTGTGTCCCGAAAATGTAAATAAGCTTGTTTGTCTTTGCAGTTGGCTGAATAAGAAGTAGGACTGTGTGGACTTGTAAGATCTAAAGTTTGACATTGTTTTGGTTTTGAGTGCAGTTATATAACAAAAAAAATCTACATTTGTAAGTTGCACTTTCACAATAAAGAGATTGCACTCAGTACTTGTATGAGGTGAACTGAAATACTATTATCATTTTTAGAGTGCAAATATTAAAATTAATACAAACTGAGAACTGTACACTTTGTATTCTGTGTTGTAATTGAAATCAATATATTTGAAAATGTAGAAAAACATCCAAAAATATTTAATAAATTTCACTTGGTATTCTATCGCTTAACAGTGCAATTAAAACTGCAATTATTTGTGATTAATTTTTTTGAGTTAATCATGTGAGTTAACTGCGATTAATAGACAGCCGTATTAATTTCATTACCTTTAATGGCCTTTTCTTATTCTATTATGGTGCTCATTGTAGTGAAAGCTGTTCATTAAAGATTGCAAGATTTCCACTATAACCCTCTATTCTCATCTGCTGGGGGAGGGGCGGGGGGAACTCCTTTGGTCTGAGGCTTTCTGTGTTTGATCTGAGCCCACATAGGTACATTAAAAAAAAAAAAATTAATATGCTTCCCTCAGCAGTGCTTGAACTGTTGAAGCAAGTCGGGGTGGTGGGGACGGGGGGGACTTTGCTTTAAAGAAACATTTTAAATGTTTTTTATGCAGAGAAGAAAGGAGGTTGATCTTAAACTGTGAACATCATGTTTGACTTGCCCAGTGGGAATTGTTGCTGTGCATTTGGAGAGGGGAAAAAAAAAAAAAAGGTTATGCTATTAAGCAATGAAATGGTGGATTTAATGAATGCATAGCTAAGTTTAGTAAGTTTTGCAGTTTGCCATTGTGGAAGTAAGCAAACAGGTGAGTTTAAAATGTGGAGTTATGAAAAGCATACTTGTGTAGATTCATGTAGGTGGAACTAAAAGTTTCTAAACAATTTTAAAGGTTTGAATCTAATTTTTTTTTGGAAAAGCATTTGGATCCTTTAGAGCAGTGGTGGGCAAGCTGCGGCCCGTCAGCATAATCTGCTGGCAGGCCGCGAGACAGTTTGTTTACATTGACCGTCTGCAGGCAGAGCTGCCCACAGCTCCCAGTGGCCGCGGTTTGCTGTTCCCAGCCAATGGGAGCTGCGGGAAGTGGCGGCCAGCGTGTCCATGCATCCCGCGCTGCTTCCCGCAGCTCCCGTTGGCTGGGAACAGTGAACTGCAGCCACTGGGATCCGTGGGCGGCTGTGCCTGCGGACAGTCAATGTAAATGAACTGTCTTGCAGCCTGGCAGTGGATTACCATCATGGGCCGCAGGTTGCCCACCACTGCTTTAGAGTATTAGCTTTATTTTGTTCCCATTTTGATCTTGTGCAGAAGACATTTAAAATAGAGTAAGGTATGCATCTTCCTGCTCCAATATAAGTATTTGAGATGTCAGCTCTTACTTGGCAAGGTCTGACGACATAACTGGAAAACTTCAAAGTTCAACATAGCAAATCTAAAACTTGGAGTGACAAAATTCTGCTTATTTTGACATTGTGATGGTTGTAGAAAAACAGATATTCAGGTAACTGGTATGTTGTCTCCATAAACCACAAACAGTTATTGACAAATTGGCCAACAGTGGGCCAAAGGTCCCTGAAACATAATTTTATTTTGGTTTTCTATATCCAATTAATAATAGCTTAATTGACTTCTAAAGAAGTCTGGACTGACTTTTTATAACAAATTACAGTGCAAATCAACTTTAAATAGCTCAGGTATAAAACATTGGAAACTTTAAGAAAATGAAAGTGTCTCTTAAATAGCTAAAAATAGTTGCACATCCTATACCTATCCTGAGCAACTTACTGTAATTTTATAGCTATATTCCTGTTTTTATAAAGCTGCTTTCTGCTGTACTGAAAGACTCTCAAACTTGAGAGGGAGAGTGAAATTGATTGCTTGCAGAGAACTCTCAAATGCAAAAAAGTAAACAATTAAAAAATATCTAATCTCTCAATTAGTGTTTTGTGACAGTAGCTGATAAAAGAAATCACACTTCTCTGAAAGTAAGTTGATATCTGTCCCATTTACTGTCAGCATCTTGGAATGTGCACAACATATACGTCACTTGAATTTGACTTGTATAGGTGAACTGAAAATAAAAATCCCCAAATCAGTAATCTATGCAGACTTGCATTTTAATTTAGTTTTCTCTATTTACTTTCCAGTACCAGATTGGAAGGGTTGGATTCCCTTTCAGCTGTTAATATTGCAGACACCCAACATATGCAATGAACACTGCTCCTTTCATTAAGTATTTGATGCCTCAGTATACAATTGCACTTAATAGTTTCAATTGCAGACCCCTAAAGATTTTGCTGGTGATTATGCATTTTGGTTCCAGCAGTATTCTGAGATTGGTGACATTGTGACCATTTTGCTACTATTAAGCATTTGGTGCACTATACTCTAATGAACAAGATTTGTAATAGAGGCTTAACAGTTTTATTTGATGGATATCAAAGTACAGAAAACTTCACCATATTCTATCAATCCACAAATATTAAATCTGTATTCTTTAATAGAGCAAATTAATAACATTATAAGCAGTTGGTAGAAACTATGATGGGAAGACACTAAAGCATACATTCATCTGGCTTACTTGCATCTGAAGAAGTGAGGTTCTTACCCACGAAAGCTTATGCTCCCAATACTTCTGTTAATCTTAAAGGTGCCACAGGACCCTCTGTTGCTTAAAGCATACATTGTACTTCTGAGGTTATCGGTGCAATTCCAGTGAATGAAAATTAGAATTTCTTCCCTATCCTAAATTAGACATTGAGCTACCTTATTATTTTAGGAAGGAATATGGTGGAATTTCATTAACCCTGTTTATGAATGTCCACAGTAATTATTTTGCTATGGAGTATGGTGTATCCTGATGAGCAGGTCACATTTAGTTCTTCATGCTGGCTTTATATTCTCCTTGAGTGCAAAAACTATTGATAATCAGCTAAAACATTTCTATAGGTTATGTTTAATGGTTTATGAAATTTATGCTTTCTATAAATTATGGAACAGAGCCAGACAATGGAAAGATTGTAACATACATGACCAACCAGAACATTAGAGAAGCTTTTTCACAAACTGAGAATCATTCAGATGTGCTTTTGCACTCTTCTTTATAGGCCTCTGAGGGAAAGTATGGTTTGCAAAGTTTTGTAAAATATTAGCTGAAAATTGGTTATGAAGCACATGTGCTACATTGAAATCAGCTTATTTTGGGAATTGTGTAAATCAGTAACAATATTAATTTATTCACTAATCCAGTTAAATTGGTTTTGGTTACATTTGTGAATTGTAAAAGTATTTCTTGCTTGAAATAAGCCAGATGGATCTCTGGTTTCCAAGGATTGTTCTGTGACCTTACTGAATCAAAATATCCAAGTTTAAAATACATTTCTGTTTGGCCTAACACCAAAATGTTTTGTTTTGCTCCCTCTACTAAACCTTAACTTTTAAAAATATAAAATCAAGTCCTCATCCTCCTGATGATAATGCAGTCTGGCACTAACACATTCTTTCATTCTGATGTAATATACAAGTCAGTGCAAGCATTGTCTTGTAAATACTAAAGGAATTGGGGTACTTATTAAAACATCAATAGTTTGAGGATTTCAGGAAATACTTGTCATGCACTGACAAAGCACTCCAAGAAAGTCTGTGTTCTAGGGTTGATTTGATTTTTTTAACTCAAAACCATTTAAATCACCATTTTTAATCGTGATTTAAATCAAGCAGGAAATCTTGATTTAAACCTATTTTTAATATTTTTTTCAATTTTATTTTTTAATTATTTTTCTAAAGAGTTAAGTGTTAAAACATGTTGATTTACAATGAAATTTAGCCTTTACACTAAATATTGTGGTACTTCTTGCTAACCTAGCGCGTGCGTGCGCTCTCTCATATATATTTCTTAAATAACATCTATTAGATACTTGATTTTTGTTTTTTTATGTTAGAAAATGCTGAATGATGCGTTTCTTATTTACTAGACTTTTTTTTACTTGTGATTTGTCAAGCTATACTTGGATGGAAATTAGAATTTAAAATGCACAAAACTACCTTTTTTTAATTAAAACTACTTTAAGTATACCAGATGCATAAGAATAAAAATTTATCAAAATATATTTTGCATTTAAAACTAAGCAAGTATTCGCTATAGTTAGTGAATTGAACTGAATGTTTCTGGTCACCATGTCCTTCAGTATTTTAGGACAAGTAGATGTCATTCTCTTATAGCTAGGTTTATTCATACATTGGAAGAGGGAAAACAAGCTTTCCTGTTTTTTCAGTTTCCCGTCAGTTTTTAATTTGAGTGAAATAGTCAAAGAACTGAACTAGCTGAATAAACTGAAATGAAAAATATATTCTCTCTGCAACTGCAGAAGAGGCTGCTGCTGTCAAAAGCTGGTTTAGCACTTTAGCAAACTCTGGTTCTAGTTGCTTAGCCCAGTGGTCTCCAAACTTTTTTGATCGCGCACCCATATCAATAAAAAAAATGTTTAGCATGCACCTCCTGCCAGGCCGCAGGGCCGGCTCTACCATTTTTGCCACCCCAAGCGCGTGCGCAAAAAAAAAGCCGCTCCTCCTACCACGCACCCCTAAGGATCCTCTTGCGCACCATCTGGGGGTGCGCGCACCCCATTTTGGAGACCACTGGCTTAGCCAATGACTTCCACCAGTTCAGTGGTTTGATTTTCATTAAAAGTTTGGCAGCAAGTATGTATTGTTTAATATTATAGTATATTTAGACCTTAACATAGATTGTCATAATTTCAAATTTAACTTTAAATAGTTTTGGGGGAAAGTATTTAAATAAAAAAATTCAATTTAAATCTGATTTTTTTTTAATAAATCGATTTTATTTTTCCTGCTGGGTTCTTAAATGGTTCTGGAGCCTCACAGGCCATATTGGGGGAAAAAAATTTAGTGAAGTTATTCAGGATGGCCAACTGCCCCAAATTAAATGTTTTTAATGCTGTTGTGACTTATATGGGACACTATCCAATATGACAATATTTCATCAAATATTATAGATTCTATATGTAGAGGACTTAAGCATATTCAAATTTTTAACCTCTGGTCATAGAGTGACAGCTATTTCCAGAATAATCTCATATTAATTTTTCAACCTTATCCAAATGTATTAAATTACCTCATTGAGTTTAGTAAATCCACCTTATCCAAATCTTAAAGTAGTATAATACGAAAAGTAGGATAATAAACTACAGTAATATAAAATAAAATACACAGTAATCAAACCATTAACTGCATGTGTGGGAGGGTGTATGTGTATTAAAGGTAGGGCTGCTAGTCCCACCTATTAAGGTTGACCATCAGTTGTCATAAGATCCAATTTTCAGTTGCTAATAATTTTACCTGACTTCATAATTGTGCCTTTTGCTATCCCATGAAAATAGACCCAAATTTTATTAAGTTATAGTAAGCCTTTGAAAAACTGTAGTTCACGTATGCTTAGTAGAGACTTCTTGGATTTTAGCAGCTAAATCTCAGAAGATCCTATTCTCACTGCGCATGCTTGAGCCTCTCACAGCTCCTTGTGCTCACCAGACTGCATGTGTTATTGCCACAGTGACTGAGTCTGCTTCAGCCCAGGGCTACAGGTGAGAAAGCCAGACTTTCTCTGTAATGGCTGCTGCGGGCTGGAGCTGGCCAGTGGAACTGTGAGCAGGGAGCCTGTCATGTCACTCAATTAACCACCTTGCTGGAACCCAGGCTGGAGGAGGAAGCAGTGTGATTGGAATGCTGAGGGGACAAAAGCCAGACTGGGAAGAAAGAATGGAGTAAATTGTGACAAGGAGTCTGGGGAGGGGGAAATGGGAGGATGAGACTGTTTGGGGGAGGAGGGCTGGGACTTGGAGGCAAGGTGACAGGAAGGTTGGGATGGCAGCTTTCAACTGCCATAACAATGAGACAGTCCTTTCTGTTCCTGCAGTCCCCTGCCTTATACACCACACGTCTTCTAACTTCAGCAGATGAAGTTGGGATTTTACAGATAGCAGCCTCTCTTTTTACGCAGTCCTGATTCATCCCCAGAGCAGGTTAATCCTGTGCACTAATACTGGGGCCCTGTGGGGAAAATATAGTATGTGATTATGTAATATAAGACTGTATCATAGTGCATATGCACAGGCAACTCTAATTCTATCACTTCCTAACTTTGGGTGCCTGACATTTCAATCAGAATGTTCTTTTAGCATAGATTTTGTGTGTAGTATATTACAAAATACACCCTCAAACCCTTGTCTTCAGGTACTGAGTATTCATTAAGGTAGTGGTCAAACCCTCTGCCTTCTGAAAATGCTGATCCACGCAGGGGTACCTTTCTATATGCAAAGAAGTTTCTTAAAATTTGCATCCAACTCCTATATTAAATATGCTGAAGCTTTAGAAGTTACTAAGTGACTGGAAGACAGTTTATTCACTTCTTGATTATAGATCTGATTCTGGTTATAGATTGATTTTGAGGAATAATGTACTGAATAACCTGTGGATTTTTTTTTGAGGCGAAAATGTGTATTTATTCTAACAACTTTTTTTTCCTGTTTAGCTTGTCTGCCCATCTGCAGCTCACATTTACTGGTTTCTTCCATAAAAATGGTATGTCTGTTAAAATTCATTATACAACTAGATTATAATGTGTAATAAACCTCTTAAGTTCAGTATTGGGGGTACACTTGAGCTGAATAGATTTGCCATATATTAAAATCCCAGATGTTTGTACAGTATTTTTTAATTGCTTTGAGCTCAACTATCCCACTAGCACAATACTTAAATATTTTACTTTTTACAATAGAAAAATGTGTACCTTCTCATGTGTACTTTAGATAAGTGCTTTGTGACATTAATATTAAGCAATAAAAAGTTGAAAACTTTCACTCAGTACATGCAGATTCTATTAAAAGCTTAAAGTCTTTGTCGTGCTTTTAAACAGTTATTAATAGATAAAAGTAGAGTTGAGTTGTTCTCTTTAAGCAAGTATCCATATGGAATTCTTCAGGTTTTCTTGGGAATTTGAAGTGGAACAAAAAAAATCAAGAAATTCTAAATTCATATTTTGAGGTTCCACAAAGTTGGAAGAATATTTTCATTGATATAAAATATAGTCCAGAAATGAGACTGAAAATGCTATACCTAGATCTTTAAAGATGAACTGAAATAATCTTGTATTTTGCTAATGATTTACGATTGTAAATATCTGTATGTATAATGAGCAGCCGTAACTTCACAAAAAGTTAATAGAATTCTTGAACTACCAAGACCTGAGTCCGTGGTTCTGTTTCTCCTTCAGTTAAAACAGGAAGCTGTGTTCTTTATAGTGCTTTAGATGTTGTTAATTTATTAACTCTTACATACCCGAACTCAGTTCTTTGCAGATAAGTAAAAGAAGATGACTTTCAAATATTTTATTTTAAAACATTTATTTCCAACTTTTAAATGAACACGTATTCTGTTAATGACCTTATTTGTATTATTCAAAAAATATTCAGCTCACTTAAAGATCTATATTTTTAGTATGGGTAATGGTGTCTGCAAACATTTATGCTCTCTGAACATTTTGTATACTTTACTTGGCCTGGAAATTGTTCCAAAATACACTTAAATTATGGTTAGTAGCATCTGGATTTGAAAAACTATTTTGCCAGTGATAAATAGGAATTTTGTTTTGGTGAGTGCGTGTTGCTCCCTTGATCTAGGAATACTTCTGAGTGTTCCTTTTGTGGATTTGAAGAGGAATATCCAAAGAAGAGTGCTGGTCCCACTGCTGCCCTGATTCCATTTGGGAATACTCATCTTCCATTTATTCCTTCAGGAATTTTTCAACTTGTTGCCTCTACTCTAATGCTTTATCATGGAAGCAACAAGGAGATCAAGGAGCCCATACCCTGTGGTGAGAGCAGAAGCAAAAGAAATCATTGTTTCTCCCCAGGGCCTGGCAGAAGATGGGGGCAGGGGGAAGGAATGCAGGGGGAAGGAGTGCTGTAGTCTAGCTTCAGACACCTAATGATCCATTCCTCCCAGGTGTGGCCTATGGACAACACCTAATGGGAAGCATACTATACACAACTTCAAATAGTTGATGTATAGAATGGGGATGCACGGGTGCTCTCTGTGGGCCCTGCTGACAGACCCTATCTTTTAATTTAATTTTTGACTTAGACTCCCTGTGTTAGTAGGTTTGAGCAGATTTTTCAAGCTGTTAGCATATTTGCTGTAAGTCATTCTATGACTGTTGGTAATGTGACTGTGCTGTTTAACTATGAAATCCTCATACGCTGGTGCTGCTATTTCAGTAGAGGACTATGCATAGTGAGAACAATGTGATTGCATGTTCATCCTAAAGAACATCTCTCATGAGCAGTAGTGAATACTAAATATAGAAAGTTTTATGACAGACTAGCCATTGACATGCTTTTTTGGTGTGATAGTAAAAATGATTCCAGAAGCTCTCACAATAATGTTAACCATTTTTTATTTTGCAAATTGAACACGGCTATGGGTTTTTTTGTATATCTGCTGGTAGGTATTCTTTGATAGGAATGAACATTTGCGTACTTGTCTGAACAGGATTAATTTTCAAATTAAAGGTGAAAGATTCTCTTAAAACTAAAAAGAAAGTAAATCCATTACAATTCTTAAGGTTGCTAATGTCTCTGTAAGTAATTAAAATTTTCAGATGCTCTACCAAGATTGTTACTAAATTAAAAACAGATCATGCTTGTTCAGTGTGAATATAATGCCAGTAGGAAGGTTAGTTAGGAGACACAGGGCATGGTCTCTAGTATGCTCAGAACTCTTTGCCATCTCATCTGTTCTGATAGGTGTGATTGAACATTTTACTTGGTGTCTGAGATTTTGGCTTTGGGTGAAGGCTAGTTGGTTTAAGCTTAACACAGATAAGATGGGTGTATCCTGAGGTAATAGGGTGGGGGTGGCAACTAGAAGAAATGGGCAGATTATGAAAGTCCTTTGATTGTGAAACTGAGTAACAAATTGAATATACTGCTGCAATTTTAAGTGTTAGCATCTAGCTGTCACTGATAGTTCAAGGTAGCAGCTTTGACCAAGACTATATCTTAAATCTGTGCTGGTCAAGAGCAAAACCTTTTTTTTTTATGTAGACCTTTCTACAGTTATCTGTCTTTGTTGTCGTCATACTATTATGCTGTTCTCTGGGGATGCATCTTAACTCAAGTTAGTGAAGAATATGGTTTCCAGTTCAGTGCTGCAACATGCAGAAAGCACATTGTAAGGCCATCTGTTTCACTGCTTTTCATGAAGCCATGGTGTGAGGTGTATACTTTTTTTTATATAGTGGGTGCTGTGGGCAGTTTTTATTTTGGCTGGAGTTAGCTTGGATAAATAAATTTAAAAAATCCCAAACCCAGTAATCTTTTAGTTTATATTCGTATTTACACAAGCACCTAGAGCCATGAATAGTGCTCTGAAATACACTTGCAGAAATAAAATTATTCAGCTGAGTAAGGAAGAAAAGAATTGGACTTCAGGAATGTTGCCAGTTAATTTAATAAGGATTTGATGTAATGCAGAGGTTAATTTACTTAATAACCAGGCGATCAGTAAAATAGACTAGTTCACACTACACTCAAATTGTCTGAAATAGTTGTATTTTACTCTGTGATGGTTCTAAATTTCAGTTTTAAGAGAACAGCGTTAGATCTGTTCAGTGCTGGACTGGTCAGTCTATATTGCCAGAGACTGAACTTGTCTTCCAGAAAGTTCATCTTTAGATCATGTACAGAGTAAAATTTGAAATTGTTTTCTTATGCAAAACACACATTCTAAATTAATGCTTTCTTGTTAGAGAATATCTTGCATTCACATGATGAGGCCTTTATTTATACTGTAAATGTGTTTTAACACATATTTTTATTGGCATTGCTGATCATACTGCTGGTAATAAACACCTTGAAGATTACATCAATTGGAAAATCTGTAGCACAGGAATTGTAACATTATTTTAAACCGCATTTTTTTTCTTTCAGTTCTCTCAGTCTCTGGCACTCTTCTTGGGGTTGAGAGTTGAGATTTCTAACTTATGGCATTTGGGTCCTTGACAATGATGCAAAGTAAATTGTAGATTTGGGAGGAGTAAATAATTTTTTATGGGAAATAATTTGTCACTCACCTGAAACTGGAGTTTTCTGGCTTTTCTTAACAAATCCACATTTGCCCTTTCCTATTGCTTTAGAAGATTGTAGTTGGTGAATGTTCTGCTCTGCCTCTGGGCTGTACTATGAACCTGTACAGTACCCTCAATTACAGTTTTTAGTTATAGCAGTATTGGGTAAGTGTTTATGATGTAAACTAGTATTTTGGCATGTGGATCTGTGAGGGAGACCTATTTGGATAACTCCAGTTACAGGTAAATTTTTCAGTTTTTTACTGGCTGTTTCCTTTATTTAAAAGGAGAGTTAAAAGTAGAGTTGTACTTTACTAATAACCAAGAGCTTAAAAAAAAGACCAATGGAAGTGAGTTTGGCCTTTTCTGTTAAACTTTCAAACATTACAGATCAACTCTTACATTTTTAATCTGCTAATAATGAAGCAATTATAAAGTAAGGTTCTTTCTCAAGATAAGCACTGAAATTTCAATGGGTGTGTGTGACTTCAGAACTTTGCAGTAAGTCCTTGTTTCTGAAAATGGCAGAGTTTAAAAAAAAATTAAATCTCCTGTAAACTTATGGCACTGAAGAGTTGTTACTTTTTCAAGACTTAAAATATTTTTCTGTTTAGATAAGCCATCACAAAACTCAGAGAATGAACAAAATTCCGTAACCCTGGAAGTACTGCTTGTGAAAGTTTGCCACAAGAAAAGAAAGGTAACATGACTTGAGAAACATTTAATAAATGTTAAAGTGCAAAACTTAATTGATTCCTAAACATCTCTTTAGCCTCCAGGTTAGTTAATGACAGCATGATGCTTCAATTAAGAGATTAAATTGGTTTTAAACTTACATTACTACTAGAGAACAGCACCTGTCTAAATTACTTTCTGTTGATTATGGATGGAATGTTCAAAAGCACTTAACATTGGCTTTATTCTGCTCTGACTGAAGTCACTGGGAGTTTTACCACTGATTTCTGCAGGAGCAGAGTTGACCAGTACTGAGCACTGTTGAAAATAATCTTGTAGGAAAAGCTACTTAACTTGTTGCCTGCTGTTCTACTTATGGATGCTGTCCTTAATCTAGACGTGTTGGGAAGGAAATTTAACTTATCACTTTCAATTTTTGCCTGCCAAGATATTTTTGGGTATATTTATATTTTAGGAGGCCCAATTTTTTTTTCATTCAACTAAAGTTGTAATTCTCAGGATGATTTCTTGCAGATCTTGAAAAATCTGACTAAATGGTAAACTTTCCCTCATGAATGTGGGTGGGCTAAGACTGCATCAATTAAAAAAAAAATCTAGTGTGCATTTAAAACACTGTTACTAGCTTGTATTGTTCTAAAGATAACTCACCAAATGTAGCATGTCTTTCTGAAAAAACAAGGAGTCTGGTGGCACCTTAAAGACTAACAGATTTATTTGGGCATAAGCTTTCGTGGGTAAAAACCTCACTTCTTCAGATGCATAGAGTGAAAGTTACAGATGCAGGTGCCACCAGACTCCTTGTTGTTTTTGTAGATACAGACTAACACGACCATCCCGTGATACTTCATGCCTTTCTGAGTTTGCATATAGCTATGAACAGTGTCAGATAGGCCCTGAAATGATTTACAGGGGATGAGGTCCCCCCCGCAAAAAGAAAACTGGGTGAAGAGTGGAAAAATGCAGTTTTTTCTTTTGTAGCATCAGTTAGGCTGAAAAAGAGTACATTAGTGGAGACCTCCTTTCAAAATTTGTAGAGGAGTTCCAAAGCTTCAGATTTCCAGATATCTAACGGCTGAAGCCCAGTATAAAAGATGGTGTCCCAAATTGAGTCCAGGGACAGGACTCTGGTATAAATCATAGCACCTTTTCTTACCACCTCAGAAGCTGGGCTTCTCACAAAGCCTCTGCCTTGGACTTTGCTGGTGGCCACACCAGCACTCGTATTCATTTTAACTACGCAACATGCATTTGTATCTGCCCCAACTAGTAAGTGGGCTAAAACTTTTCAAGCTTTTTTCTCCTGGATGAAACCTACTTTAGAGTATAATGACTCTAGTGGAGGTTCTCAAATTTCAAAGACATGTTCAGCTTTATTTCATATAATTTAGTCTCCTTGTACATCTCACTTAATTTTGCTGTTTTTCAACCATCTTTTATGTAAAAGACATTTTCAGTTTTTGTCCCGTCACCAATCTAAATCCATATTTCTAATTTATCTCCATGTATTTTGTTTACATTGTGGTGATGTCCAGAGGCAGAATAAACTAGGCATTGTACAAAATTATAGGATAATTGCTGTCCTAAGGAGCTTAAACCCTTTTGTATTCCCCAATCATCTGCAACCTCTTCTCTCCCTTTCCTTGCTCCGTTCTGTGTTCATTTATTTTACATTGTTTTTCTGAAATATTTTTGTTTGACAAATTTAGTGTACTACAGTAATTTGCAGAAGCCTCTCTGAGTTAGCTTGCTACTTTAATTATACTTAATGCTATATCCCGGCTACCAGCAAATTTCACTTCTTGAAATTAGCCATCCAGATAATTGATCTCCAGGATCAAACCAGACTAATCCTAACCAGACATTTCCTTATATACTCTTAAATCCCTCATGACTGTGGAAATGTGGAAGCCAAGTTGTAAATCTGTTTCCATTTAGGTTTAAAATTAGGGAAAGTACTTTGACTGAATGTTCTTAGATGCCAGACATTCAGACCTGCTTTTAAGATCTGTCATATAATTCGACAGTGTTTGTTACTACTTAGGGGTGGACAAGTAGAATGATGGGAGCTACTGTTGATTATTATTTTAAATATAAATTTTGTTGTGAGTTTAATCATTCTAAAGGTTTCCTGCCTTGTACATCCAATATGGCAAAGTGCTTCATGATTTGTTTGGGAGATACTGCATATGGCAAACCCAAGTTGAGTAGTTCTTTATCTCCCAAACATTTCATTAAGAGCACTTTGCAATATTGGAAGGACAAGACAGGAGAGCCCTTACAATATATATAATGAAAATATGTAATCTTTTGTTAAGTAAATGGAATTAAATTGGGACTAACTACTTTACAGTCTTATTGAATGCTGCATGATAGTGTAACAAATTAATCACTTTCTCAAAAAGATGGCTGCTCTTTATAAAATGCCATTTTTAACTACACTTTTCCAAATTTCTGTTTATGCATGCAAAACCTGAGATTGCTGTTTCAGATTGGTAGTTCCTTGAAATTTGAATCTAGTCATACCAAGAGGATGCATGGTTTTAGGCAGCTCCATTATTTCCAAAATGATGGTAGAGCAGATAGTTAAATTTTACATATTTTCAAGATAGTGAAGAATTTCCATTTTTAACAAAAACCCCGAACCTTAAAAACTTTTTTTATGCTTGCAGGATGTCAGTTGTCCAATAAGGCAAGTTCCTACAGGTAAAAAGCAGGTGCCTTTGAACCCAGACATCAACCAAATAAAGCCAGGCAACTTCCCATCACTCGCCGTTTCCAGCAATGAGTTTGAACCCAGCAACAGCCATATGGTGAAGTCGTACTCATTATTATTCAGAGTAACTCGTCCAGGAAGAAGAGAATTTAATGGAATGATCAATGGTGAGACTAATGAAAACATAGGTAAGTTCAGTTTTTGAACTTGCATTTGTCAGGTTTAGCTTATATGTATGTATATCATCTTTCAGAACTTCAGGTTGATTAGTCATGCTCAGTAGGATCCAGAATCAAATATGGGTGACTTAATTGGCTTTCATTAGTTTATAAAGATGTCTGCTCAAGACAGTACTAAAATACTCATATATATATAAAATGGCTTTTGGTATAGTACACACATGTAATAGCAACTTTTATCAAGATGTATGGTAATGTGCATAAAATAGTAAAGGCTAGCTCTGGCATAGAGTTGATATAAAACAGAACTCTGGAATCTCTTCATTCCTGCTGTTGATTAATCGTCCTGCTGGAAGGTTACTAGTGACTGAACTAAACGGATTCCACAAATACTGCTGTGGCTTTCATTAACAGAGCAAACTTGTTTTAAAATAAAACTGACTAAATCTAATACCTTAATTTTATCAGAGAATTATAGTATACCACAAACATCAACGCTTTAATGGTAGTTTAGAGAAAAATAGTCAATTTATTTTTTTAATTTTTGCTTTTAATTGTTAAAATACAGGATGAAAAGGGAGGGAGAACAGGGCTCAAATTCTGTAAGCCAGTTTATCGAACACCAAGTTAAAACATGTGATTAACACACTAAGAATGAGGTATCCTAAAATGTTACTAATATTCCAATTAATGATAAAGTTCCCCCCCAAAATTGGTTATATTACATTACATTAATCCTTGCCTCTGTTACTAGTTAAAAATCACACAAATGTTATAACTTAAAATACAGTATATAGTTAGGTCTTTATTCACACTGACTTCCCAATTTACTGGAATTGCCTGCATTTTTAACAATTGTATGCAATATTTGTGAAATGCAGATGTCAATGAGGAGCTTCCCGCTAGAAGAAAACGTAATTCTTCGAATCGTGAAGATGGAGAAAAGACTTTTGTGGCACAAATGACAGTATTTGATAAAAACAGGTAATATGAAAATCAAATGGTTTTCTTTTGTTACTCATGCACTTTGATATTAAATGAAAATCTACTTTTGAATTTCATTTTTCTCAATTTTTGTATTCTACATTTTCAATGTGTACATCAGTGGATGGCTGAAACGAGTGCTAGCTTGGGCTTTGCTGTGAAAGTGTAAACTCCTTGAAAAACTAGTTTGCAGATTTCACAGAGGACACTTCAAATCTAACATTCTTTTATAACCAATGCAGAAAACATATTCCCTGCTAAAACAAGTTTTAAGATCATCCTGCGGATAATCAACATAAAATCTGTGTCCCTCATCAGTTGTTAGACACAGGTGTAACTTCTGTAGTCTTATGGACCAGTGACTGCATAATTGGGAAAATAACTCTTAAGTACAGTAGCTAATATTTTATTTGTTGAGATGGAACTTTCTCCTTACCCTGATGATGCAGCCACATATACTATTCCATGGTCATCTCAAGGATAGATTAGTTATCCATTACCTCAGTAACACCACAGTAATTGCATATTTCTCCTATCAAAAGCATATTATTTATCTGAGTAACAACAAACGTGTGTTCTGCCTCATTGTAAATATCAGTTACCATTGATTATGCAGGTTTGTTTAAAGAAAACTGGGTTGTGTTTTTATTGATTTGCTTTATTAGGTTATCCTAAAACGTTCATTAAATGATTTGTTTTTATTAAGATAACATGGCACTAGTTAGTGTACTTAGTTTTTTTAAAAAGGCAGTTTGCACTTACTTACAATCTAAATGCTTCAGAAGATACCCGTTACCGTTACTTTGTGTAAGTGAATACTCCAGTATTCTGTGTTTATTTTGGGGAAAGTCATGCAATAAATGTGAGTGATAGCAAAGGATAAGATCTGCTTGTGTACAGCCTTAAAATATTGGTGTCTGGGATGAGAAACAAGCTGTGTGATTAAATGGAAGTATGGCTTATTAATATAGAATTCCCTTTATTACAGTTAGATCAAATGGCATTCTGCGGGTCATCTAGATCAGTCTCTGAATGTTAGTTAAAAGCAACTTGAATCTATAGCCATACAAATTATTTGCCTAAAATACAGGATGTCCCTTAGTAATTCTTGTCTGTTCCTCTCAGTAATTCTGTCCAAGTACATATCTATCCAAACAAATTTTTCAAACAAAGGATTTTTAAGGAGAAGTGCCATGTACTCGTTCTTTACCCTAGTCTGTGCCCTCTTAGAAGCTTGACAATATTTTGTTTTCTGTTAAACATTAGTTTCTCAATAGTTGGTTCTATATACCTTCAGAAGTGTCATAGAAACTTGTGCTGCCATTAAACATTTTCTAGTATATGACTTCAAATTTTACTTCCTAGTCACTTCTCTGCTGCTCCTCCATGCTGTTCAACATGAGTGACAGGGATGAACTTAATAAAGTATTTTTCTGTAGAAATCTTAGACAGCAGCCAGGCTTGCGCGGCTGACTTTAGAATAATCGTGTTTGAGATGAAATGCTTATACAGATTATCTAATGCACATGCTTTGGCATTGTCCTTACTAATATTGTCAATGTCTGGACAGAAATGAAAAAGCACAGTATCATGCTTGAATTGTCTATTCCAGTGGAGACAAAGGTGTTTTGTGGAGTTTTTTGAGAACTTCATTCATTAAACCAACAGTGTCTTTGAAAGATGGCTTCTGAAAATCCCACTGGTAGTGAGTGGGACAAATTCTTCAGTCTTAGGAGTCCTGATCTGGTGTCCTGACTGGAACATGGATAATTTGGGCATTTTTGATGACCTTTGGTCAATAGGTTTTTCGTTTACAGGAAGATTCTAATCATTGCATTAATTTTTTATTTAACGCTTATTTTCTCATATCACATGTGGTTTTGTTATCTAGGATTTTTTTGTCATATATTGTTAGTAGGTGTCCCATTTTCATCATAGTTTTTGTTTTAGCTGAGATGCAAGCTGTTGTCGTCAAATATACTTCTATGGGGGAGTTGCATTCATTTCATGCAAATGAACTACTTTGAGAGATTTGTATGTGCAAGTTTCATTGAAATATATTTACTTGTGTTTAAAATGTCAAATATATTTCAGCAGACAGTGAATAAAATGTTACTTTGTGTGTACAGGCGCTTGCAGCTTCTGGATGGGGAATATGAAGTAGCAATGCAGGAAATGGAAGAGTGTCCAATTAGCAAGAAAAGAGCAACATGGGAAACTATACTCGATGGGAAGGTATGGACCATTGTCCCATTATTCTACAGAATGCTTAAGAGTTAAGCTGCTGAGATCACTGCTGGTCACACTGACCAATATTGTTTTATTGTTCACTTGTATTTCTCTGTCTGTATCATTTATTGTCTCTAGGCTTGTACTTAAATTGTAAGCTTCTTGGGGCAGGAATCCTTTTTGTTTGTACAGCTCCAAGCACAGTGGGGTCCTGGTCTATGACTAAGGCTCTTAAGCACTGCCACAATACAAATATTCAATAATACTCTAACTACAGTAAAATTAAGGTCACTACACAAACTAAACTTGTGTTGAAATTCTCCATTTCTTCTTTGAGTGCTTGCTCGTGTCGATTCCAAGTAGTGATCATGGACTTTTGGGCCCTCACTCATATTGGTGAGCCGTTATTCACACCAGTAAGCCCATTGAGGTGAGAACTTTTCGAGTAACTGCACACCAGTGTGTGAGGAGACAGGGAGGGAGAGTCACAATTTGTCTCTTAGTGTTAGCATTTTTAAATATAAACTTTTTTAAATGCTTACCTTGAGAGTACAAGAGTCTAAATTTAGAAAATGATTACAATTATGATCAAAAGCCACTTGTACATTTTCATTTTTGGGGGGGGGTTGGGGGGAGTGTCACATCACCCATAAAAGCTTTTTCATGCAAAGTAATTTCAGTGTTTTCCCAAGTAAAAACATGAGTTGTTGTTTTCCCCCAGAGGTTACCTCCATTTGAAACATTTTCTCAGGGACCTACACTTCAGTTTACCCTTCGTTGGACAGGAGATACAAATGATAAATCTACAGCTCCTATAGCCAAACCTCTTGCAACACGAAATTCAGAAAGTCTCCCTCAAGAAAACAAGCCTACTTCTGTTAAACCTGCTCAGACTATAGGTAAGTGAACACCCAGTTTCTTATGTTTTGGGAACACTGATTTTTTTTGGGTCTTAACAGTCTCTGAGCTCGTCTACACTGAAATGCTCACTTTAAGAATTCCTTATTGCTGCATTACTAAATTAAAAAACAAACCTGTGGGGTGCCTTGTTACACCAGTGGAGCTATAAAAGATGATGTAAAACCACTGCAGCTGAAACAAATGGTGTATGTACTGGTTTTCCTAATTTATTTTTTGTAGGATTATTATATTTTAATTGCTTTACTGAAGATTTTTTTAATGGTATTTTAAGGTAAGCAGAACATGGAATAGCTGTCCTCATAAGTTTATTTTAAGACTAGCAGGTGAGATCAGTTTAAATATTCATGAGCAGATAGATAAATGCTTATCTTATATATTGATATGAAATAAGTCTTTGGAAAGGTAGTGGTAGACTACCCGCTGGATCGGCAGGTATGTCTACACTACCCGCTGGATCGGCAGGTAGCAATTGATCTATCGGGGAATCGATTTATCACGTATAGTGTAGACGCAATAAATCGATCCCCGATCGCTCTCCCGTCGACTGCTGAACTCCAGCTCTGCGAGAGGCGGAAGCAAAGTCGATGGGGGAGCCGCGGCCGTCGATCCCACGACGCAAAGTAAGTAATTCTAAGTCAATCTAAGATGCATCGACTTCAGCTACTCTATTCTTGTAGCTGAAGTTGCGTATCTTAGATCATTCTCTCCCCAACCCCCGCCCCCGTAGACCAGGCCTAAGTATACTTTTTCTAGGATTTTCTGCTTTCCTAGATTGCCTTAATCTTTCTAATTTATTAATTGAAATTTCATCCAACTCATGCACTGTGGTGAAAATGATCCCATTAGTCCAGAATTTGGCATTCATATGACAATTGTGTAACACTTAACACCCAGTTGTTTCTAACATCGTGGAAAAACACTGTCTGAAATAGTTGGTGCTTTAAGTCAGAATACATTTTGATAAAAGTTTAAGGGACGGATGTTTCATTTGGCATTCATCAGAATATAGAGATTTTGTAATCTCTAGAGCTAATTTTTACATTGTATGGGAATGATATTGAACTGCTAATGATCCCCTTGACGTGTAATTGATATAGTGTATTGTAAACCTGAACTAGATTTACTGTTCAAGTAAAATGAGTTTCTTAGACACTTGTCAGGGTTTTCATTTTTTTGCCCTTTTTGCTCGATAATTTGCATGTGACTAGCTGATGGAAATTACTTACTCTTGGAATATCATGCTTGTACTTTCCATCTACATGAAAGAGGAGTTCTGAAAATTGTAATAACTCAGCCTTCAGAGGAGCTGCAGTAGCTCCAATTTCTACTCATAATGCTCAGCGGTAAAACTGTGTACTGATGTCCTGTTGGTAAATTAGAACAAAGCTGACTTAGTCATTTGTAATTGTCTGAGATAAATTAGTATTCAGAGAATATAGGTGAAGCTTTAATACTCAGATTTTTGTGTTTTTATTATTGAACTGCTCTTTTGACCATCTTTCTCCTCAGCAACCTGTTAGTGGAAGAGTTAGTAATTCTAAGGATCAGAGCTCTAGATATTAAAAATCTTCCAAACTTTGTTCTGTCTTTCCATTTTGGTTAAATGAATTTTCTCTTGACACTTTCTCTTTTTTTCCCCCCTCAGCAACCTGTTAGCGTTTACTGTAAGGTCTTCCCGTAACGGATTGGGAGTCTAGATTCAAACTGTAACAATGTCAGTGTTTAAAATGTTTTCTTCATCACTGCTTTAAATGTCATTAAAGTCAAGCAATATTGGCTAAAGGGCTCTTTTCAAATTTATTTTATGTTAGTTCAGAATGCTTCAGTTAGGAAAATGACTTGTTGAAATGTTCACTGTTTCATTCCCATTTTAATTTATAATAGAATTGAAGACTTTAATGGATTACTGTAGTTAAAAAATTTTTTAAATGGTAGTATTAATTTTATATTTTTGCATTTACTTAACCTTAATCTTCTGTACTCAATGCAATATTAGTGGAACAATTGGGTTGTTATATATAGATGTTGGTGCTATTGTGCAAGTAGAAATTTAAATCACTTTTGTCAATATTATCTGGCCCATTACTTATTCAGAGACCTGTTTTTATCATAACCTATTGATATTCACTGCATATCTAAGAGACATTTTTTCATTCATCTGGCATAGTTAAATTGGTTTAATTTATATGAACTAGTATTTTGATGCACCTTAGAGACTAACAAATTTATTTGAGCATAAGCTTTCGTGGGTTTACAGCTCACTTCTTCAGATGCATAGAATGGAACATATAGTAAGGACGGACGCACGCACACACCCACACACCATGAAAAGGTGGAAGTAGTCATACCAACTTTAAGAGGCTAATTAATTAAGATGAGCTGCTATCAGCGGGAGGGAAAAAAAACTTTTGTAGTGATTATCAAGATGGCCCATTTCAGACAGTTGACAAAAGGTGTGAGGATACTTAACATGGGGAAATAGATTCAATCTGTGTAGTGACTCAGCCATTCCCAGTCTCTATTCAAGCCTAAGTTAATGGTATCTAGTTTGCATGTTAATTCAAGTTCAGCAGTTTCTGGTTGGAGTCTCTTTACTATATGTTCCATTCTATGCATCCGAAGAAGTGGGCTGTAGCCCACGAAAGCTTATGCTCAGATAAATTTGTTAGTCTCTAAGGTGCCACAAGTACTCCTGTTCTTTTTGCGGATACAGACTAACACGGCTGCTACTCTGAAACCTAGTATTTTGATGAGCACTATTGAAATACCTGTACATAAAAATAAAATGGCAAAATATACACAAGCCTAAAGAAATGTCTTCAGTACCTATTTAAAAGCTGTCACCTAAATTTGTAAGGGGGTCATTTTTGAAAGTGTATTTTTATTGCATATAAAATTATACCTAGACTTGATTTGCATTGAGAATTATAGTGGCTATATTAGAAACCCCTTGTAAAAGGGATTAATATAGGCATCTGTCATAGCTATAGTGTTGGAGGTAAGGTATGAAAATAACATTAGCTCTCTTTTCAAAAAAGACACTTCTCAGTTAAAGGTCCTAAAACTTCAAAATAGAAAACTTACCTTTTACTCCTATAATAAGCCTTGCTTTTAAGCATCATCGTTGAAATCTTGCGAATCTATTCAGATTTTCAAGATATAGTATTTATAAAACCTTAACTGGCTTGGAAACTTCCAGTGTCCCCATAGGTTTCAGCTGGAATGTAGTTCTGTCCACCAGGATTTAATTCCTAGAGGTTGCATGAGGCAGTTATTCTCTTTAGAATCTCCTCGGTTCTGGAGTTTCTTCTTCTTGTTCGCTTAAGTCTGATGCCTTTAGGACGGTAATGCAAGATGCATTAATTTAATCTCTTGTTTGCTGATTTTGGTCCATTGGAATAGTAACTGTGGCTGGAGGTAATAACAGGAGAAGGTCTGTTTTGTGGCCATTTGTTTCCAATAGGTGCATGTTTTTATAATTTGCCCAACTATTGCGTTATACAGTAATAAACTACATGGGTCACAAGTGGCCCCTATCTCTATACAGCTTCTTCCAGGGGATGGGAATTCATTTCTTCTGTATAATAATGCAGACACCAATCAGCAACAGCATCTGTGCCCAGCTGTCCAGAAGTCCATGCCCAGCCTTCACAGGATGAACCTTAACTTTCTCAGCCATACTCAGAATGGCAGCTGCACCTTCTAGGAATTTGAGATGCTGTCCAGAATAAAGCACTGAAATGATGCTGTCCTCAGTAAGGCCTTCCTAGTGCCAGATCCTTTTGATTAATCCTCCACACAAACTAGGGATTAGAGATGGGATAGGAGCTACTTCGTGACTGGAAATAGGGACTGCTAATTCAGCCCAGATAAACTTGGATAAATCCCAGTAGAGGAAGCTGTATTCCCCCTCAACTGGCAAAGTTCCACTTCTTTCTCACTGCTTCTCCATGCCAGGTCTCCTGGTAGTCCACTGTTTCTCTGGGCTTGGCTAACGGTGGAATTGTTGAGCAGAATAGCAGTTGACTGCAGAAATGAACAGAGGGACAAGAAACAGGTTGTTGGCCAGAAAACCTGCATTGCTAATTTGTCTTGCATCAGAGCAGCTTATCAAGCAGAAGATCATATTCTCCCAGATAAGAGATCCCACCAGGCAAGGTGTTCCAAAGCAATCTGCAATCAATAGACTATCTTGAAGGTATATTTATCAACTAAAACAAAACTTTCAAGATTCTGCAATAGATTCATATCCCAGCACTTTGGACCATTGACAAGTTGTTTTTTAAAATACCTACATCTTATTTCCTGAGTGTTGAGAAGTGAAGATGGATAGAAAATACCTGATTATAACATCTGCAGATTGGGATGGTCTGTAGTAGAACCCAGACATCAAAGGATAGGATCTGATGCAGCTTTCTGAAGGATAAATACGCTCTGAATGTTGTCAGCTGTGTTCCTGGCAGACTTGTGAAAGGATCTCTCTCTAAGACAGTAAAGCTTTTCAGAACATTGGGTTGACCCTGTG